CCGTTTAAATTCGGAGGAGCACTGACACATTCACATAATTTTTGAACTCATAGGGAGTCAAAGTGAGCCCCCACACTTTGTCCCCACTCCAACCCCTAAGTATGGTAGGACAAAGGCAATAAACACGTTTAGCTTTGAAAGATATTCTGCTGGACTGACTCCTTTCAAGTTCCTTACATCGCGATCCCTTTCACACTAAAAAGGTCACCAAGCCTCGCCCCCGCCTTTGTAAAGTCCGACCTGGCTGCCGTATAAGCCGTGGTTCAACACAAATTGCTCCCCGTTATTTTGGACAGTGCCGTTTCGCGGACAATTTAAAACGACTGGAGCATATGGCATTCTTTTTTTTTAGTTCGGAGATATCTGATTATTAGGCCTAATAAATGTTTGGATAGCTGTAGGTAGCTGGGGATGTTCGCATCGGGAAGTATCGGAAATTCGCATCGGAAAGAAAAGTAGAAGGAAGTTCGCACGCCGTATTTGCCAGAAAAAAGATGGAGCTCAACGAACGCTTTCGAAGAGAAAACAAAAACCTATGGTGAATGGTATATACCATGAAACGCACATCGCGTCAGCTGCCGCTTGAATTCTGCGGCTGCTGCAGAACACCGATGCCCAGCTGAGCCCCTGCCCCGACAGGGACAGGCCCAGACCGCCAACACATGACCTCATCGGCGCCAGGTCTGCAAACAGTGTCACCCCAGGGACAGTCCCGGCCGGGGAGGGGCGGCACATGACATGGTCCGGCCCCCAGACTGTTTATGGGCGACTGTCCAGTGATTTAGCGCTGTAATGGGAGCGCTCGTTGTCGGCGACATCGAGTGCAACTTTGGCATCGCTCCAGCAACTTGCAGGCCATTTCGATAGACTCGGGGCCTCGCTCCCGTTTATCACAGATTCCGGGCGTTCCAGACCGGGGCCAAATTTGGTCTCCGCGGTATAATGTTAGTGTATATCTAAGGGAGTGTCTTTCTTTGGCATACCAGCTCTGTCATATTCTCCGCCAGACTGTGAATACTGGAAGGCTTCTCATAACATATGCTGCCATGTTTCCATTGCTCTAAACTTCAAAAGAAAGTTTCAAATTATGCTCACCTGTCCATCATCATGCAGTTTCTCAGCAAACTAGTAAGAAATAGTGATGTAAGGGTGAAATAGATATACGGCGTCGGATATAGATATACGGTGAAATAGATCAATGGTGCTGACCACCTCAGCGGGAGCGATCCACATGTGTATGGTGTCTTGAACTGAGATAGCCATCTCGAAGATCGTTAAGTGCAGTTCACAATCATGCCCTT